TGCAGCTTCCCGCAACATTCCGTTAATGGTAAAGAAGTTGGGTGAACAGGCCGGGACTGACCTTAAATGTGCCATCCAGCAGCCAGGTGGTGGAGGCACATAGAATACGCAGGCAGTCTCTTGTTCCGAAGATGAGATTCGGTTTCTTCGACGGCGCTCTTCCGCCTCGTCGTCACCGCTACTGCCATCGTCCTCATCGTCGAGCGAGTCCCAGAGTAGAAAGACATTCCCTATGGGGTTGCGAGGAAGGGTAGCCTGTCGAGTCCGGCTGATAGTCCTTTTGATAGCTGCATCGTTTGGCAGCTTCGTCAGAACGACCTGAACAGCGGACACGGACACGTCTGACAGACACGCTTACCCGCGCACGAGTACGCCCTACGCCTGCGGAATGCACTGCAGTTTATTGGACGTAATCTGGATGGGCCGGGCCTCTTGCTGCTGGACACTCGATGCCTTGATTTTATTAATTATTTCTTTGGCTGCTATTTCGTCCTGGTCTGAGGCTTGGGAGTGATAGCCCTCCTTCACCACGACCGGCTGGTCGCCGATGTTGATGGCTCGCGCCTTGCATTCGGGTTTTTGCGAGCAGACCCAGTAGACATGAAAAGGTTGGCCGAAATGAAGTGATAGTGGTAGGGGTTGCCATCCCAACGAAGGCACTTGTTCCAACAGTGGGTGAGGGGAAGCGGGGCTAGTAAGGTGTGCCAAGTGCCGGTGGGGTAACATGAACTAGGGGGAAATGAGGTGGATGAAAAATTAGTGGGCGAAAGTGTGTTGGGCATTGGTGTTTTGGGTCAAAGGCATTGGGTGAACCGTCCTGATCACACGAGCACCTCTGGTTGCTCGGTCTAGCGCTCGTCAAAAGCGAGGGCGATCACCCACCACGTCGCCACTCACTCGCCCAACAACTGCCTAGTCTCGCAAGGGAACTCATAAGAAGAGTTGGCCCCCCTTGTGTTGTTCCGCCTGCTTGGGGGTTTAGTAGGGGTCAGTGTCAGCAAAGACGGACGACAACGACGCACAAGGCCGTGAATCTCAGAACAAAAAGTCGTAACTACTCTTGTTCTAGAAAGCAATAAGGTATTGAATAAGTAAAAATGATTTTGTATTAGATTTTCTTTTATTCGGATCGTCTTTTTGTTAACACGCAGTGTTAACGTTTCTTTTTTTAACAAATCTGTTTTTTCCTTGGTTCTTGCAAGCTTCTTTGTGCGCTATACCTCGGGAACATATCAAGAGCACAATGGCACTTCTATGCACCATCCGATGTCTCAGGCTAGTGTGAGCTACTGCATCAAAGATGTCACCAATGCTCTCAACCATCTTCTCGTCTTTGCTAAATTGCTAGGTTTCCGTTGACACATGCTGAACGTCTTGCGCTGATGGATATGTAAGCGACTCAAATGTACTGTTTCGTAAATTTGCTACAATTTCAACTGTGTTTTACAAATCAGATTTGCTTTTCCTCAGAAATGCACGTATGGGTCTTCCTGGTGTCATAGGGTTCATAGATGGAACTATCATCAGGATTACACCACCTCCAAGACCAAATGTCTATTACTTCTCCAGGAAAGGGTCTACATCTCTCAATGTGATGATAGTAAGCATTCCCCTATTGTTAACTATTTTTAATGTTCTGTGGATCAAATCAACTGTGCTGAAATGACTATTTTATTGTTTTAGGTCTGTGATACTGACTAAAACATTATCTATGTTAATGCTCGGTTCCCGGGATCACATGTCTAGAACAACTCTGCAATGAGATATGTTACGGAGGCTGCATTTCTGGAGAACCACTGTTGGCTGTTAGGTTTGCATTTTAGACTCTTATAAACATGGTTACACAACAAAGCGAAATCTCATTGCTTTTTTTCTTCCTCCCTCAGGAGATCAAGGCTATCCCCGCCTTCCATGGCTGATAACTCCTGTCAGAGGTACACCAGAGTACTTCTACAATATACTCCACACTAGAGTGAGGATGGTGGTGGGGAGATGTATTGGGGTGCTCAAGGCTCGGTGGTGGTGCATATGCAACGACAATGCGCTCCCCTACCGCCCTGAGAATCTGGCAGGATTATCAATGCCTGTGTGGTTTTGCACAACATCCTAACACGCTGCAGGCTTGCAGTTCCGATTCACCATGCTGGCTTTCAAGATCCTCGTGCACCAAATTACGTTGTGCCGCCTGAGTATAAAGATGCTGTCCAAGCAGAACTTGTTGACCATGCTAATTGGTTCATAAACCGTCATTTGTATTAATTTTTTGTCTTCTGTTATTGTTTAATCTTAATTTTGTCATGATCCAGTTCATTTGCTTGGTGTCTTGGTTTGATTCCAGTGCGCAGCATTTTTTTTCTGTTTATGTTAATGTCAGTATTTAGTTGTCAGTTAGGTTTCAAATTGTAACCTTACTAGAAAATGTTGGAGTTATGTGGAACCGTTTTTTGATACGAGTGACTTAGTCATAGCCTAATTTATAACATTTCAGCTGCATTGAGTTTTATTTTGGTACATTAATATGCGTTGCCGCCCCTTTTCCCCCAAAATAAATTCCCAATTTATGAGCTCCTAAAATGTTATTTCCCAAAGGCTAATATCCCAATATGACGTTCCCAATCAAATCTTCCCAATACGATTTTCCCAAAATCTAAAAATCCCAACATGCAGTTCCCAATTATATTTCAAGTGGCACCACCTTCATTGTAGGCCAGCGAGGCATTGTTGATTGTTGCTCTGGTCATACAGCGGGGCTCTCTCGCTCTCTCGGCGGCAGCGCAGTGGGTGGTGAGCATGGCGGCCGAAATACTCACGTCACGCCGTGGAGGTGCGAAGCTATTGCTGAACGGTCACATATATTACCGCAGAGATGCAAAGAAAGGAAGAGCATACTGGAATTGTAAGCGAACCGAAGAGTGCAAGGCGACTGCTATAACGCAGTGTATAGACAGAAAAATAGAAGTGTTGAAGGCCGTGGAGCACACCCACGCTCTGAACCAAGCAGAGGCGCATGAGGCGCCTCAAATCATGACCGATTTCGAAGTGGGGATTGTAAATGCATCAAAAAGCACATTTCCAGACGCCGAGATCAAATGTTGCTTTTTCCATTTGGGCCAGTCGGCTTACCGAAAGGTCCAGAGCACCGGGCTCCAGGAGGCGTACAACAACCCAGAAGACAGGAGTGTCAAGGAGGGCGTCCACATGATGCTCTCCTTAGCCTTCGTCCCCCTGGCCGACCTGGAGGAGGCGCTGGAGGTGGTCCGCCGTGATGTGCCAGCAGACGTCCATGTCATCACCAACTACTTCGCTGACACGTACGTGCATGGACCACGAGGACGGGGAGCGCGACGAGCACGCCGCCCACGCTACGATCTGGCCTTGTGGAATACCTACGATGCTACACTGCGAGACGAGCATCGGACGAACAACCTCAGTGAAGGATGGCACAACCGCTTCCAGGCAAGTAGTCATTTAAAGTAACACTACCCCTCGCGCTATGGTCGCGTCTTGGGCGAGGGGTATATCGGCCCATTGTTTGTGTTGGCAGTTAGTTGTGTCGAAGAACCACCCGTCCCTGTACTCGTGTCTGCAAGAGTTCCAGAAAGAGCAGGCGGACACAGAGACGATCCTCTTCGAGCTGCGCATGGGCCGCAAAGTCAAGAACCTGCCCCGCAAGAAGTGGAGAGACACTCAGCGACGCGTCCACAACATCGTCCGACAGTACGACACCTACAAGGAAGAGGGAAGAATGGCGGACTATCTTAAGGCATTGGGCCACAACTTCACTTTGTAGTTTCTTTTGGGAAATTTCCCGAATTTTGGGAAATTAATGAAGTTGGGAAATCAAGGAAGTTGGGAAAATAATAAATTGGTAAAAAAAGTAGTTGGGAATTATTTCTTTGGGAAAGTCTAATTGGGAATATAAAAATTGGGAAAAAGTTGTGTTGGGAAAACGGGATTGGGAAAAAGGGGCTGTAACCATTAATATGACTATGAAGTCCTTTGGTGGTTTGAAATGGATATTTCCGACTTTACTGAATATATTCATGCTTTAAAACAAGCAATAGTTTTGATATTGTTCAGTTGGTGTGAAGTCCTGCACTGTTCTTTCTATCAGCTATTATTTTGTTTCGTTAGTTACAACTTTGGTGACCTTAGTTGTTAGCCTCTTC